GGGCACTCACTGATTTGATGACCCTCCACAAAGTTGATCCAAGAACGGAACCACTTTGAACTGATAACACACTTGGACGTGCAGGGAAGTTTCTGAATCTAGGGGAGCGAAAAAGAGGCATACACAGGTTAGGGTACAGTACAGTTGGACAGCAAAAAACAACTCACGAATGCATGCAACTGCGAGAGAATTTCCGTAATTTTTGATAATCTGCTTCAAGAATTTGAAGTATTTTTTGCATATGCAGGCAGCTAGATCGCGTGGCTAAGCTAAATTTGCTTTGGAACGTTCAGCACCTAGATTTACACATTCATCTCCCCCTTACCTTTTTGCATCAAAGTGTTACCTCACTCTTGTTTCCCGTAAGCTGTTTCAAGTTTCTAACTCTCTTGATTAGCGTACGTGGCAATGTACTATAACCTTGCTATTTTTGCATCGGTTAATTTTTTCTCTGTATGAATCCAAATAATCGAACTCTTTCAGTCGTTCATAATGTTATGCAGCAACAAGAAACAGCTGACGAACAATCGCGAAATTTTTCGTGGTTCCAATAAGTTCTGCAGTATTTACATGCCCTAAAAACCTGCTCCAAGGCAGACCCAGGCTCCCCGGTGAATGCATATCTATTATTCTGATATGCACCATTGTCATCCTTTAGCGCCCTCACTACGACGAGGGGAATACAGCTTTATGGGTCTGTGTAATATTTTACATCATAAACGATAGCAAAGAGATTAGGGTGAAATTATGATCACCCAAAATAAAGAAAACAGTAGCACATTGAAGGTAAGCTAGATAGGGAAAGCAAAAATCTGGACAGCATGTTCCGGAATGTGATAGTGCATTACCCGTATATATTCAGCCCTCTCGTACTGCCTACGCTCATCGAGAGCTTGAAGTGTGGACGCGCAAGCTGCGCACATTTCCAGCGTCCGTACCATCGGTCCTCCCCCGAATCTAGAAAGGTAACAATAATAATAAAGGATTTATATTATCAACCACACTATAGTACTAGTAATATTAGTACGAATGATAAAACAATTATTATTACTACTACTATTGGTACTACTGCAGTAGTCGCCGGTTATTAAGCCCACCTCGGGCCCAGACCAAATTGGGCTTAATAAGAGGCTGGGCTTATTAATCGTGGGCTTAATAACCGGCGACTACTGTAACAACATCCTCTTGTGGACATTGATGGTCCGTCGCAACCGGTTGGCTAACTCCTGCAGGTAAAGAGCAGAGTGGCTGCATTAACGGGCACTAAGCATGTTAAAATGGTTAGCTGAACCGAACGTTGTGTGCCGAGGCTACACGGTCCTGTAACGTTCTTACTAATGGCGGCCCATAACGGACTGCTGAGGATCGTGGCGGGTCCCTCTGTTTTCGTCACGTGGTCAGCAGACTCGGTAATCAGCAAGGACGTATGATGGGCGCATCTCCAACACTTCGGTGATCTTCTCGTAACTTCTGCGATCTTCTCCTCGTATGACCCTTATGACATTTATAAAAAACCGTGCCGAGCTCCTCTTAACTTGCTTCAAACACTCCCAGCAGTAGGCCATCCTATCTCGCATACACTTTCCCACCCACAAGCGACAGTTCTTCTCCTTAAAATCCCCCAAATGGCATTCAAACTTCTAGAATATTTCTGACTTCGTGCAGGGATGAGTGTCATAGACAACACACTAAGGCAATATCATATCCTAACCTCAAGTCCTGGGTAGAAGCGAATTACCTCGTCAGTTGACCACCTTTTAAACCACGACTTTTAGCGAGTTCGAGTGTACAGCAAGGAGACTAGGCAATGGACTCAAATTAAGGCCACCTAACGCTCTCTCTAGTTGGAATTTCATAAAGAAAGTGATTCTCACCGTTCAATTAAAAGATTCCAGACTTTCATTGGAATCTGGAAGACAAGTTCATCTCTGTGTTCCCACAACAAGGGCTTAAAGTAACCGTGGCTGCACAGGAAGTCCTCATTGTTGACCGGCCCGGGGTCAGAGAAGTTAGTGAAACGAGCTACCCATCGACGGTCGATCCACACAGGATTCCCCATCGAAGGTGAAAGCTAGGGAGACAATAACAATTATAAGTTCAGAAGTATTAATGCTATCCACGCATGAGAC